CGTGAAGACGACTTGGAAGAATTATGTTAGATCAAATAGTTTGAAATATAAAAAGTGTACACCAATTGGGTTGCAAAGATATTGTGATTAAAATCTGTGAGTTTGTGGCAAAGACTTAATTCCTTTAGTTCTTTAAACCCAAGTTCCTTAGTATTAAAATCCGCAAAATTTTTTTCTTCTTTGTTTTAAAATGTAAACAAAAAGAACATGTTCACAATTTAAATAGAAGATGGGCGCTAAGCACCCTAAAAGCCTAGTAATTAATATTTAGGGAGATAACTTCAGAGATAACTTCAGAGATAATTTCAGAGATAACTGCAGAGATAACTTCAGATATAATTTCAGAAATAACTGAGATAACTCCAGAAATAACTTCAGAGATGACTTCAGAGATAACTTCAGAGATAACTTCAGCACTTTTGCTAAAGGTTCGGTATAATGTTACCAATCAAAGGAATTAAGTCTTCGCTACGAATTTAGGTTTTTTAATCTCTATCTTTGTATCATGATTACATGAAACTTAGATCAAACAGAATCATAACTTTAAATATCTAAGGTTTACGAAATTCGGTTACAAAGTAAAAGTGATTAGAAAATTAGAATAGATTATGATAAAGACTCAATTCTAAACGGATTTAGTATTTTTATAGGTTCTTGCTTTTCAAATCTTATTTAGGTTTTAATTCAGATTTCTGAAATTGTTAGTAAATGAAATAAAGTCAATACATAATTAAGTCAGCTGATATAAATGTATATCTATATGAGAACATTGGAATTGAGTAATAAATATTTGAATCTGTTTTTCTTCTGAAAATTGATAAAAATATTTTAGGAGTTTTATTGAAGTTTGTCTAGTTCATGCAGTTGTGCAGTAGGGTACAAATAGAAAAATTATTAGTATTTTTTTCTTCATTTATTTAAAGAAGTCTTAAAGCAAATTTATTTTTATGTTCGCAATAGCTCTTTTACAAAAGAACTTTGATATGATTTGATATACAAAGAAGTTTAAGGCTGAAACATTGTCCAAAATAATCATTTATTTAAGACATTTTTATACGTATACCTAGTCCTTTAATTTCCAAAATTCTTTGCAAGATGTTTATTTAATCTGATTTAAGCATGGGGTTGAAACAAGTTGGGGGCCAAGACATCTTAAAAGCAACATTTTTTATAAACGTTATAAAATTAAATTTAAAAAAACCATCTTAATAAGCTAACCCGGCCAAACGATGACATAAGGATGTTTTTATGCCATTTTTATTGAACCCAGCTAAATAATCGAATAATACAATTTTTAGATGCTTAACAAAACTTAACTTTTATCATATACAAGCTGAAGAACCTTGCGTTGCCCGTAAGAAAAACTTTTTAAAAAATTCTAATGTTACAAAACAAAAATGATTTGTTAGCCTTTGTTATCCCCATGGTACCCACGAGTTCCCTCAAAAAATAAAAAAAACAAAAGGTTTCATTTGAGAAACAAAATCAAGACAAAAAACGGGGGGGGGGGTTGTGTGGAAGAAATTTAGTCAAACCTTTCGGCTTCATTTTGTTCACTGCCTTTTGAATAATTTTCTCTTTTTCAATTTAAAACTTTTTTTCTCAAATGACTGAACCGTAATACATTCGTTATACGTTATTAAGCAATTAATCGTTTTCTTTTCTTTTTCGAGGAATTATTAATTATAAATGTTTCCTAGGTTTATTATTGCTTCCAATAGACTGAAGTCCCTGAAAAAAAAACATATTAAATAATAAATCATAAACTGAAAATCTAACTAAAACTTAACTAAGGCTTAATCGGACTTAATTAGGATTGCATCTGTATTTGTCATTCAAAATCTATAAAACAGAGGATGTCCTAAAAAATATGACAGTTAAGAGACGACATGATTAGGTCGTCTTTGAGTTTTACTACTTATAAAATAAGCTTTTAAGGAGGTAAGTGAGGCACTCTGTATCTACATGAAGTCTCTCTATATATAACAATTTGTAGAATATTTGAATATCGTTCTTTATCTTTGAAATATTGAGCAGCATTGATTCGAAACCTTCTTCTGCATTTAAGATAATATTGTGTGGTAATGATTCGAAACCTTCTTCTGCATTTAAAATGATATTGTGCAGCATTGATTCGAAACCTTCTTCTGCATTTAAAATGATATTGTGCAGCATTGATTCGAAACAGTCACAAATTTCCTCTATTCCTGCAAATGTCGTATATGCCATTTGTGTGAATATTACAGGAGATATTAAGAATTTTGTTTAGATTTCAATTTGTTAAATATAACAAAAATTTTCAAAATCTGAACATAACTTTTTTAACTTCTAAAATTATAACTAAGACAAATTAATGCCGCAAATTATTTCGAAGATCAAAGACGTTTTTCAATTATTTGTACCTGACTGACTGAATTATAGAAGGTTTGATGAGCAGAGTGCATGTAGTATCCTAGAAATAAGATAGATTATAGTGAATGTATGCGTAATTTCAAGAGGACCTCCACTGTAATGTTCAATCCACAAACTGCATCCATTTAAATTTTCATCTCGTAAAAAATGTTAAAAGTATCTTCCTTTTTTCTAATTTAAAAATTGTATATTTCTCATAATTTCCTCTAATTGATACTGTTACCAGAAATCCGCCAGTAACTTTTAATCTTTATATAAATTTGGCTTGTCTGGGTGGGTGGGTGTTTGTTTGTTTGTTTGTATCCAATAAACGTCAAAACGGCTAAACCGATCGGGCCCAAATTTTTTGTGGGACATCACATGACCACAGGGAAGGTTCATGAATGATAAAAATTCAAAAAAATGTGTTTTAAAGGTTTTTAATTTTGTAAAAAAATTAAATTCTTGAAAATCCGCGAATAATTTTTGAAAATCCGCAAA